ATAAATGGGTTTTTATCAGATGTGGTTTTAACATTTTCAATACAGCACAATCTTAACAGCTGAGGAGGAGCCACTATGAAAACAAGCTTGGGTTGGGTTTTGGCTTTGGGTTTTGGCTATTTCTGGAACCAAGATGCTTAAATTCTTACGTTTTCTTCTTTTTATTTTTTTTTAACCTTTAAATATGATCAAAGAAATGTCAGGTTTTGCAAAGCTGGTGCTGAAAGCAAGGTATGAAACATCCATATATCTTTATATATATATATATATACCCACACCTACACTGCCCTATTTTTAATGTTTAGCTACCTGGCATCTATAGACGCCACTGTATTAAGTACAAGTTTTATAGCTGACGTTAGGTGGAAGTTATACAGGAAAACACTGTAGTCCTTCTGTGACCACCAGCTGCCACCCGTGCATTTCTGGGGCATAATCACTTCAGCTCTCTGGAGTAAGATCAGTGAGCAACGAATAAAAGAGTCCTGTAATAAACAGACAAGGTGACACAGGAGAGCAACTTACACCTCTGGGGAATAACTGTACCTGGTGCAGATACCCGGTGAGAACAGAGTTATCTTTATCACTCTGCTCATGTGTCTTCCTGAGAAAGTCAGTTATTTGAAACCATGGTTTTGTTAATTTTGGATTATAGGGATACTACCTGGGTTGTTCTCTCTCATGCAGCAACCCTAATAACTCCGGGTGATAAGACCACACTCTACAGCTTAGCTGTCTTCCTGATTGCATCATGCACTTGATCTCAGTCCTAAATTCATGCTGAGGTAAGTGTGCTTTTACAAAAGGTCTTCCTCGAGGGAGTCAGTGAGATGCAGTGTGGTGTCATCATTACCTTGCCATTCTCCTGTTCAGCGTCAAGGTTTGCAAGCTGAGATTATAGCTGAGACAAGCTGACAAGTTTTATTCCATTCATTCACTGGAGAGGTGATTGGGAGGTGATGTTAATGACAGTTATTTGTGTCAAGGCTTCAAATGTCAGGTCCTCGCCCAGAAAAAACCCAAACCAAAAGCAAACACTAAACTAAAGCCATCAGAAAAGCAGTGAGGAAGGAAGCCCAGAAGACTGGCTTTGTCTACCTTGGTGAGTCCGACACAGCATCTGTGCTAGGACTGTCTTTGGAGCAGTTATGGATAAGGCTACAACCACAGGAAAGAACAAATAGAATTGGTGGAACTATGGAAAACAGTAACACCCAGTTGACTGGAAGCCACAACTCAAGTTAGCACTTCTAAGTGGGAATCTCACTGCTATTACAGGTCACATCTTGGACAATGGCAAGTATTGGCTATCAGCAAATACCTACAAGCTGGCTCCGAGGTGATAGATTTAGGGTTTATAGACCAAAAAATACATTCTGCAACAGTGAAAAACATAAAAACAGCACTCAAGGTTCCAAATATTTTCCAGTGCTATGATGCTTCTCGTGTCTTGCATATGGCCAAGAAGATGGTGCCACACTCTTCCCAGTGGTGCCCAGTGCCAGGACGAGGAGCAACAGCCATAAACTAACCCACAACAAGTGTCACCTCAACATGAGGAAGAACTTCTCTATGTGAGGGTGTCAGAGCCCTGGCACAGGCTGCCCAGGGGGGTTGTGGAGTCTCCATCTCTGGAGACATCCCAAACCCACCTGGACACGTCCCTGTGTGTGTGCCCTGCTCTGGGTGGCCCTGCCCCGGCAGGGGTTGGACTGGGTGATCTCCAGAGGGCTCTTCCAGCACTAATGGTTCTGGGATTCTACCTTAAAGGCTACAAATCATATGATGAAAGTATTAGTTTCATTAATGCAGAAGCATGACGGGGTACTAATCACCATGATTCTCTTTTCCAGTCAGAAGTTGATGTTTGCTATTAAACTCCTTACTAGATAACACTATTTAGCATGTTATTTTTCATATTCTTTCTGTTTAGGAAGGAAATGATTGTGATACATGTAATAACTGACAGTGATAACCATTCAGTTTGTCATTTATCTGGTGACCGCATGGCAAGACAGCTTCAGTTTAACATCATGTATACCACTGGGAAAAAAGCCATTTAATTTACTCTGGTCATCAAATACTACAAGGTTTCATTACAAAACTCTACCATGCACTCTCCTGTGGCAACGTCCTGCACCCAGCATCTGTTTGATGCCGAAAGCAGGACGAAAAATGAATTATCAGAAGAAGAGTGCACTGTTATATGAAAATAAGGGTATTAACATTCAATATCGTACTACGAATCAAAATAGATGCTATTATGAACATACTTGGTTGGGAATAGGATCCGTCCTAACTCTGTAACACATTCAAAACTGGGAGAGGCTCAATGAATTTGTGTACAGCCACAAGGCAAGTGGTTCTTGAGGCTGTCAAAGAGAATTCTCCTTCTCATTGAACTGTCAATTGCCTGAACTTCTTATCCCTGTGATTCTACACTAAAATAAACAGGAATTTTATAACAAAATGGAGGGTAATTCCTTTATATTTTTACATCTACTGCACCAAAATTCCAATGTTTCAGAATCAGCATCTTCGCTTTGCTTTTCTTTGAATGCAAAAGTTCATCAGTATTTTCTGCTTAGCTTCCCACAAGGTCTTGCTAAAGAAGCTGTGCTTCACCAAGACAAACCTGGATAGCTCCTTCTAAGCTTTTAAAATCATAATGCAAGATTATGGCCGTCACCTTTTACTCCATGGCTAAAGCATACTTTCCCACACATCACTTTTATCGATGAGAACATATACATCACATCAATAGGTTATCTCCTCTTTTCCAACAGAGTAAGGATATGCTTTTTAGTGACTATGTGTTAGAAAGGAGATCAGAAGTGAGTGTTATGACCTGCTGCTAAGCAATCTAGGTATTTCTGTTTGAAACTAGATGGAACTACAGTACTTAACTAAATTTACTAGGCACAAGTACATGAAATCCAATATTGATAATAATTTATGAAAGTAAGAATACTGATTCCTATAATACTGCAAACTTAGTTTATGATAACATAATTACTTACACTAATAACACTGCTTAGGCACAGTCTTGCTAATTATGATATTATAAATATTAATGATATCAAGCCTTTGTATTTGATTGCCCCTAGTAGGTTCATTTATCATGGTATTTCCTTCTACCTGTGTTGTATTATTTGCCTTCCTTTCCTCTTGAACATTCACTCCTGGACAAACAGCCATCCTCAGTATATGCCTAAAATCTATCACCACCTTCTCAAGGATGCAGCCTGGTTAACTTTGTATGTTACTGTTCCGTAGCAACGATCCAATGATGTAACTCAGCGCTAACGGCAATCAAATACACCATCAGTGATATTCCCTGTGCCTTGTTCCTTTTGAATGCCTACCAGAGCCAGCTAGACAGGATTACACAGGGCTTTGTTTTTCATTCTTTCTCATGTGACCTGTTTCAAGTTAAGAATCCTTTGAATTATTAAATGCTTCCTTAAAGTGCCTTTTCACGCTACCTTTTTAAAGTTAATTATTGATGTAGTGACAAGTGGAAAAGACTAAGAATTAGAATTATTTTTCCCTCATTCAAAAGGACGTAAGACACATCTTTGACAAGGGTTGTCTGTTTAGTAAAATACGGAGGGTAATACCAAATAGAACACTGAATGCAGCTTTAAAGAAGAATTACAACAAATCTCTGTTACACGAGTTGGAAATGCTGCGCGTGTTTCCACAGGTGTTAAAGGAAGGAAGTTTAGATGTAACCCTTTGCGCCTGGCTTAACTGCTTAACGTAAGTAGATGAAAATGAAACTGCTTATATCTTGGTTTATTTTTAAGCAGCGTATTATCCAGAGCTTTAGGAATAGGATTGTCTTTTCTCCTCAAAGGTAATGTTATAATTTTCAGTGCTCCGCCGAGAACAACAACAATACAGGAGTCTTTAATCTCCTGCTAAATCCAGCTCCAGTCATCAGCCACAGTAAGTGGAGATTTGGAGGTGCCCGACACTCCAAATCCTATTCTTTTGTAATTCTTTACTTTTTACAGCATTTTCAACAGTGTTCTATCAGAGGTTTGGAAGGGTAATCAATAGGCGTGATGTATCACTGAAATCAGTCTTCAAAGTGATCCCCTCTAGTAACCAGAAACAAAAGCTCAGCCTCCCCGCTGTGTGGGTATTTTGCTTAGAGCAGGAGCAGTAGGGCAGCAGTTGTAAGCCAGTCACACCTCCCTGCTTCTCAGCATGGATCAGCCGGTGTCCTGGTGGAGGGGTGAGCAGTACTGGGGTAGCTGCAACCCACTGCAGCTGGCAAAAATCTCCAGAGATGCTTTTGTAACAGGTCACTACCACAGCAGACAAGAAAGGCAGCCAAGAGGTCAGGGTTTCAGAGAGACCATGGTTTCTGTTCCTATTCCACCACATACTTTCTAGGTTTTAATGATCTTGCAGGATCTATTCAACTATTTGGTGTCACCATTCCTCACCTGGAACTCCCCTGCCTTGCTTGGGAGTGAGCACACATGGAAGACCACGAGATGCTCAGCTACAATGACCAAAGGGCCAATCCTGATTCTTCCCATTAACTCCTGGTTTGTGACAAGCTCTCTCAGCTGGTCAGCTCCAGTGCTAGAGAGTTTTCCTGTCTCCTGACCGGAACAGCCAGGTGCTTCTGGCACAATGTTAGTATCAATCTGGATCAGGTGGAGCTTCGTTAAAAAGCAGTTCCAGAACTTGTTCCAATACATTTGTCATTTTACATCCTACACTTTTGTTTCTTAAAGAACTGGTGTTATGAATCAAGGAGAAAGATCATATTTACAGTACAAATGTTATCCCATATCAAGTCCCTTCAAGTTTGTCTTCTTAAGCTGTCTTCAGATACTTGTTTTACTCAGAAGGAAAAAGACTTGGTGGCTGCTTGTGACAGCAGCTAATCAAGTAGCAGAAACTGCATACAATGGTTATGAAGTTGCACCCAAAGCGAAGACACAGTGTCATTATGCAGGAATGGCAATGAAACAACATACCTTTCCCATCAGATCAGCAATACTAGGTACTGGTTTTCCTTTCTGATGGCGCATGGTTGCAGGGCTCTGTCCATTCCAGTCTTCAAGTTCCTCAATGCTTTTCAGGTAAAGAAGAGCTTGCAGCCCAGTACAGTAGTCATCAATAACAGTGAAATCTTGATTCTGGATTGCACTGCACACCTACAAGACATCAGTCAGTTACCAGCAACATCCTGGCAAAGGAGCATATGGCATTAGCAAACTCTTTGGATTTAGTCATCATCAGATGAACCTTTCTGCAACTTCACTGGGAAAGAATGACAAGAATTCAGGATATTAATTGGCTGCTTAGTCCTATGTTCTGGTACCACCACTGCAGTTCGGTAAAAGAAGGACTCAGTAACACTAGTTACGCCCAGGTTCCTAATCGCAGCCCTTAGACCAGACCTGAAGGCTATCCAGAAGTAAGCCTCCAAGCCCAGCCCCAAGCGTGCCTTCTGGGGTGCTGATGCTGAGCATGCCAAACACAAACCACCTCAGGCCTTTGCCTGAGGTTAGGTCCCAGTGAAGCAAGTCACAGAAGCACAGACCTGTTGAGGCTGCAAGGTATCTCTAGACACTGTCTTGTCCAACCTCCCAGCTCAGAGAAAGGTCTGAGGCTCCCCAAGACTGTGTTGTCAGGGTGTGAGTATCTTCAGGGACTGCACAACCTGGACCAGCGTTCAACCTCCCTTGCAGCTTTTCCTTCTATTTAAATGGAATTCCCTGAGCTCCCGTTTGTGCCTGTTGCTTCTTGTCCTTTCACTGGATACTGCTAAGAAGAATTTGGCTCCAATTTGGTCTCAGCAAGCGACACCCATTAAGCTGACCTGCTGGTATGGGTGAGCATTGCCAGGTACAGAAGAGGCCAGTCCCCTTCTGCTAGTCCCTGTTTGCCATGCAGTGGTACTGGGAGGCCAGGCCACATTGGTTTAGATACTTTAGATAGCAATATAGCTTTATAAACATATCAAACAATGATTCCTGACCTGCAGAGCTTCACAGGTAAACACAAAGCTACTGAGAGCAGGTAATGACTGGCCATTTGCACAGATTCTTCTGGACCACTCTGTGGATACTAACTCAGATTTAAACCCGCAGAGATGCAAACTGACAAGCGAACAAAAAAACCCCTGACTCTTCTCCGAACACCTTCTCTTTAGCTAAACTCTAATCATCCGTCAGAGACGAAGTGCAGGGTTGGTTGAATCCCATTAATTGTCAGTCCCTGGAAAGGCTCTGAAATTCCAGATGTGTCAGTGTTTTCGGCCTCTGATTCAGCTTTTATTCTAAAACCTGAGAAGAACACTCCTGCTAATACCTGCATGTACACACACAACAAACACCACAGTGAAACAGCCACCTTTGTTAGAACATGAATATGTGCACATGCACAGACACATCCACACTCCCTGGGCATGAAAACACACCTTGAGTCATAACTTTGAGACTTTGAAAATACAGGAAATATATATAATTGCTTTTCCAGCCTCAGGAGTGATAATACAACTTGCAATCCTGAAGATAGGTACACGTCACACTGTATAACACCACATACCATGGCTGCGCGAGGGAAAATAAGGGCAAACTATAAAAGAAGCACAAGAACATCTTCTATGTGGTGCATTTACATCACACGAAATCTGTTTCTCTTGAGAAACAGTGTGGGCATTAATTAGGTCTGTTATAACTTGCACTGAGCTCAAGACTTGGTTATTTCCAGAGCAATTATAGAGAACACCATCATAATAATACAGGTTATTTAACTGTAAACCTCAACTGTTGCTTCTTTAACCCAAGGAATTCTCTCTGTTTTCAGTGCAGGGTAAGGCTTTCATTAGCTGTTCTTAAAAATACTAAAACTGAAGCAAAAGATACAGTTAAAAGCCATGTCATGTCACTTGAAACAAGTTCAGGCACTGTTGTCAAAACCCTGCAGTATTTTGACAGCATGTATACACATGAGATCCGCTGAAGGATACCTGTAATAACCTTATAAATAAAGAGGCTTTTACTGTTTTCCATCTCATGGTGCAATGTTATGAACTGCAGTAATATCAAAATGTTCAGAAGATGATATCACTCTAAAAGCCACCATTTGATCCCTGTGAGTCTACGGGCACTCGTTGCCTTCCCTGGAAAGCCCAGGGGGTTCCAGAACTGAAGGGAAAATTCAGTTCTTAAAGGAAAATGTAAATCTCAGCACTAAAAAGAAATGGTACCTGAAATGGAAAGGCTCAGAAACAGAATTTGTGGTTTCAGACAATCCTCCTCTCCTGTAGGAGCCTTATGAAGCTGGTGGTAAATGGTGCAGATAATTAACCAAAGACATGCCTTTCACTGATTTCACTGTGATAAAAGCAAGTGCTTATGTTTATGGGCCTTTCCTGGAACAAGAGCTATTCAAACATTAACTCCTATGAAACTAACAGAAATAGTTTTGCCATGGTTTTGGCCAATTCCCAAACATTCCGAGCTTGGGAATTTCTTACGCTACACATATCAGATCTGAGGTTGAGGCTTACAGTATCTCCCATGAATCAGAGCAGAAGCCTCTGCTGCATTTCAGAAGATGCTGAACAAAGTCAAGTTAAAAGGTCACCCTGACCCATCAGCCGTGACAATTCCTACAGCACAGAGAGAGGTTTTTAGTATCATACCTGGCTGCCTCAGAATCACCAGTTTAAATGACACTGTCTCTCCTTTCAGCACGAGAGAAGTGGCAGGGCAATAAACCAGGGAGGAATCAAACGCATGCATCTGGAAACATTGCAGGAGAACTGACCTGACCCATCTCCACACATCATTAATGTCCCCACTTCACTTCTGCTGCTTGCACTGGGAACAGGCATGTTCCCCCTCCCTTGCGAAGCTAAACGTCCAGGTCTTGCTCACACTGATCAGAGCAGCAGCATGACACTGAACTGCAGCCAGCACTGCCCACTCAGCTCCTCCCCTCAGCAGCAGGCTTTTACCAACCCAACATAATCATAGAACCCCAGACTGGTTTGGGTTGGAAAGGACCTTAAAGCTCACCCAGTTCCAACCCCCTGCCATGGACAGGGACACCTTCCACTAGAGCAGGTTGCTCCAAGCATGGAAGAGATGGTGCATGTTTAAGATCCCTTGATCCCATATAATCCAAGTGAATCTGTGTGATTAATGCTCAACTGTTCACTGACCCAGACTTTCACCTGAACCACAGGATCATAGTAACAACCAGCTTGGAAAAGACCTTTATGATCATCAAGTCCAACCTTTGCATTTAGGTAGAAAGTAGTTTTTTCTTCTTTGGAAGGTAAGAGACAGGCCCTGTGGGAAAACTAAGGGACAGAGTGAGGTCCAGACCACAGTGAAGCTATTAGCTGTCCTCCTGTCTTGCTTTGTGTTGTCTCTAGCTTTGGACTAGGACTTGGGCTAAAAGAGAAAGGTGCTACATTTCTAACGTCTATTATTCGACTTGCATTAATTATACAAGGAGATCATTTTGCATTAGCTTGGGTTTACTGCTCTGCCTTGGCAGGAGAACTCCTACAACCCCTTCTTTAACATCTGACCTCCTCCCCTTTCCCCCCAGGGCAAGACTCCAATCATTGCCCCTTCCATCCCAAAAGAGACAAGCAGGCCAACATGCTATGTCTGATCAATTGGATCACGCTCTCAGTATTCTTGAAGTCTAAACCTGTCCAGTATAAATTGCAACTGCAGGTTACAATTCTAATCTACACAGACATGTCTGAGATACTTAAGGACATGACGCCTGCTTCGCTGCGGGTAAATCAAACATACACCACATGATCTCATTGGAGAATGAGGATGCGAAAATGAATCACAGACTAAGGCTCTAACTAAATCTGTTCTGCAAAATGCAATGATGGGAGAGGCATGCAAAGGTCCCTGCTGATGTCTTGCGTGAGAAATGACCCATTTGCTCTCTCACTAAATAAGCATAAATACTGAGTCCAACTTTGTCAAAGGATCCAGAGCCATTACAAATCGTACTTGAGGAACTGGAGGAAGCTGTCAGGAGATTATTATGGTGTGAAAAGCATCTTGCAGGTGACATGGTTTTCATTAATCACCCACATCAATCTGAAAGTTTTCATTTATGTATTTTGAAGAACAAGTTCGTTACTGGTGACAGGTACGACCACATCGCTTATGGAACACTGTAAATGCCTCTGTAGCAGAATCATTATGCAACAAAGAGATGCCAACTTCTCAAGTCTTTACTGAAGCAAAGAGCTCTGTCTGTGTCAGATCCTTTAGGGTTTGCCCATAGTCTCCGTTTCTGGGAGCAATGGGAAAGATTGCTCCAGAAAACTCACCCAGACATCGCCGTTTATCTTTGTTCCCCTCTCTACAAAACTGGATGTGGTTCCTGTCCAAACTCTGGCATATCCTGGGGGTCTGTGTGGAAGACCTGCACCATCTCTGCAGGACGTGGACAACGTAGCTGAGGCATTTCCAGCCAGATCATCCACTAAAGCAGTCCCTGTTCAGTGCTGTGCTTGTGTTTTTCCACCAGGGGATGTTGCAGAGGACAGAACATTTCCTGTAACACTAGAAAGAGGTAACAACGCACCGCCCTTCACACACTGCTCTGTCCACTCTCTCTTACCCAACTGCCTTCAGTCTTCACATAAACTCATTGTTATATGGTGAAATCCCTGCTGGACAGGTGATGGTCGGGAAGATGGTGCCAAAAATGGACCTATTCCCCACCTGCATTCTTTCTAGTCCATCAACAGCAGGGATTTCAGCAGAGGTGGCAGAGAAGATGCAGATCTAGACATGTTTGTTAATCCCTACACTACTTTTAACTAACAAGAGGTAGTGTGTCTGTATTCTCATGTACCGCTAGTTCACCGCAAGAGGCTGGAGCAGGGCAGAGAATCCAGCCTCTTTAATAACACGTTCCTTGCAAGGAGTGTGAGTATTCTTGGTATGACTGAATCTGTGAGAACAAGAACACTGCAGTGTTTGGCAGCAGTCATGGTCCTTCTCAGAATTGACTCAAAGCACTATTAAAACCCTTTGCCAAGAATGAATTTGTGGTAAGGAGAAAATAGCTTGGAGAAAATGTTAGTTTTTACACCCCTCTGAAACAAACCTTTCTCTCTGCAGAACATGGGTGTAAAACAATTGTCAGTTCTGGAAAA